GATTTAATTGTTCTTGTTTCTTTATCTCACTATTAACATGTTGAAGACCACCCTTTCTTACATCTCTTTATATATATGTATAGATAGATATGCACACATATAAATAAACTACATAATTGGACATGTTATCAGGAGGGATCGGTCCCCGGAGAAGGACATCATGCTTGATATAGAGAGGGTCAGTGAAAAAGAGGAAGACCCTCAATGAGATGGATTGATATAGTGACTGCAACAATGGGCTGAAGCATAACAATGAGTGTGAGGATGGTGCAGGACTGGGCAGTGTTTCGTTTTGTTGTGCGTAGGGTCGCTATGAGTCGGAACAGACTCGACAGCACCTAACAACAGCAAAAACATAATTTTATATGAAAGGGATAATAATATATATGCTTTCCCTCGCCTGCCCCCCATCACCATGGAACTCTTACTTTAACTTATCTCTCTGCACTTCTCCTCCACTTCTCCCTTTATATCTATACTTCAGTCCATAAAAACTGGTATTATAGACAGTGTTAATTATCCACATTTTTCTCCGTGTAAAACAGATTTAAAAATGCAGTACTTATTTTTATAATATTGTGATCATGTTATTTACCCTTCTCCGTATCTTACTTATCATAGATAACTATACATTGTGGAAATTTTCAATTCAAGTGGTATAGCTCTTTTTTCCAGGATTGAATTATATTCCATAATATGAATATACTGCCATTTGTTGAACCATTTTACTGTTGATGTGAGTTATATAAAATTGTTTTTCAAAATGACCGTTGCAATTGATATTTCCATGAGTAGTACATGAAAGTACAACTTTTCTCACCTCAGAGGTATTTTTACTCATTCTAATTACTGGCAACCTGATACATGAGAAGGGAGGTGTGTGTGGATGTGCGAACAGGTATTTGGCGTATAGAAAACTGAGCATCTTTTCATGTATTTATTGGCCATTTTGATTTGTTCATCTGTAAACGTGTCTATTCATATTCGCTACTCTTTTTTCTTATCTATTTTTAACAGTTATTTTTATATTATATTCGTTAGCCCAGAGCATTCATATACATGGTACAATATATTTCCAAACCTATTATATGTCCTTTGACTCTGTTTAGGTACTCTTTATCTATGCATTAACATTAAACTGTAACTATGTTCTTATATTGAATTTCTTCTCCTGGCTAAAGGTTTCTCTAATTCCTATGTTACCCTACTACCTCCTAAATATCTTAGAAAATATCCATGGTGCAAGGTGGGGGACCAACTTGATTTATTTTTGAGACAGATAGCCAGCATTACTCATTAAATCAATCACCCTTTTGCTATTGGATTGAGATATCATATTTGTTTTATACAACATATACAGTTTTTTACAACTATAACCAGTTTCTGAGCTCTCTCTTCTATTGCACTGATCCTCTTTTCTGCTCTCAACATCTTAATGTTTTCCTTACTATGATTTCCCTCCCCCCAAAAAAATTCAAACCCGTTGCCATCGAGTCGATTCCAACTCATAGTGACCCTATAGGACAGAGTAGAATTGCTCCTAGGGTTTCCAAGGAGCAGCTGGTGGATTCAAACTGCCGAACTTTTGGTTAGCAGTCGTAGCTCCTAACCACTGTACTACCAGGGCTTCTTTATATTATAGTTCAATATCACTTAAGGAACTCTTGGCTATTGTTACTATTTACATTTTTCTTGGTCTTTTCAGACTTTTTTTTTTTATGTGAATTTGAAGATAAGGGCATTTGTTCTAAAATACTCTATTAAATTGAAAATTACTTGCATTAAATTTATGTGTCACCAAAGGTGAATTAGCATTTAAAAACTTTTTATTATGGAGAATTTTGCATATATGTAGAAGTAGACAAATGAAATAAAAATTAAGAACTAATTAATTAAATGAGAAATATCTTAGAAATATGTTAGTCACAAAAAAGCCATCATTTTTTATGATTATTTTGTAACTGTTTTCCTCACTTATTCTTTCAATTCAGTGATTGGACTGGGTGGATATGACAGAAGAAAACAAGACTCTGGTGGCAGAGTTTGTGCTCAGGGGACTTACAGATCATCCAGAGCTGCAGGTCCCCCTGTTCCTGGTGTTCTTGGTGATCTACCTTACTACCATGGTAGGAAACCTTGGACTGGTTGCTCTCATCTGGAAGGACCCTCATCTTCACACGCCCTTGTACTTATTCCTCGGCAGTTTAGCCTTTGCAGATTCTAGCACTTCATCCTCTGTGACTCCTAAGATGCTTATGAATTTTTTATCCAAGAATCATGTGATAGCCGTTTTTGACTGTATGGCCCAATTTTATTTTCTTGCTTCCAGTGCAACCACAGAATGTTTCCTCCTGGTAGTGATGGTCTATGACCACTATGTCGCCATATGCAACCCCTTGCTTTATCCGGTGGTGATGTCCAATAGCCTCTGTACTCAACTGATAGGTGTTTCATATGTTACTGGTTTTCTGCATTCCATAATTCATGTGACTTTGTTACTTAGATTAACTTTCTGCAGATCCAATGTAATACAATATTTCTATTGTGAAATTTTACAACTGTTCAAAATTTCTTGCACTGATCCTACAGTTAACATAATCCTGGTTTTAATTTTTTCAGCCTTTAAATTTTTCAGCCTTTACTTTTGTGACCATCATAGTTTCTTATACCTGTGTCCTCTTTGCCATTCTGAAAAAGAAGTCTGAAAAGGGCAGAAAGCAAAGCCGTTTCCACGTGCAGTGCCAATCTGCTCTCTGTCTCTTTGTTCTATGGCACTCTCTTCTTCATGTATGTGCGTCCTGGGTCTGGTCCAGCTGTAAATCAGGACAAGATGTATTCTTTATTTTACACAATAGTAATTCCCCTTCTAAATCCTTTTATTTATAGCCTGAGAAATAAAGAGGTTGCAGGTGACTCGAGAAGAATAACGAAGACATAAATTGTCAGTCAGTTTTCAAACATTTTTCAGAGCATTGGAAAATGCTCTGCCTTTTCAACAGGTCTCTGCGTGAAGGAGCTCAGCTTCTTACACTGTTTACTTGATTATGGGTCAAGTTTAAGTTCAGTAGCATCACCTGTAAGTAAATTTGAAATATTTTTCTCCGTTTTTTATTTGAGCATTTAGCTTTTGCAAATTAGATATTTACCAGGGAATTCCAAAATTACAGGTAGTAATTGACAATTTTACTAGGAAATGACTCTAATTGAGGCTGGCATATAGGGTGTGTCACTTAGCTCATGACTGAGCCTAGCTCACCACTCTGGACTTACATGTTGATAAGACTTGATCATTCTCTGCTAGTCACAGATGTTGTTAATTGCTGTCAACTCATTCCCGACTCTTTGCAACCGCATATAAATCCATAAAAAGGAAACTCTGTTTCTTTTCAAAACATATTCCTGAGAATAAATGTACTATTTATGATAAAAGTTGAGGAAAAAGTAAAAAGATTTTTAAAAATCTGTGAATCTTGGGAAGAAAAATGGAAACTGGCATGATTTAAAGAGTAGAGCATCAAAATCAACCACAGCTCATATTTGTAGCTACACATGCTAATTTTGTCAGGAATATTGCATGTAGTATGATATTCCAGACTTAATAAATTTAGGAACGTCTCAGGATATATTTGCATGTAATAAAGAGCACTTTCCTAGACTGGCCGTATGATTGCATTATTGTTCCTATCACTTTAGTAGGATCTGAAAAGGCAGAAAAAAAGGAGCCTAGATTAGAGACAATAAACTAGTGTAGTAAATAAAAATAGGGGTGAAAAATAGTATCAAAAATTATCAATTAATAATTGACTTCTGCTGTGCGATTAATTACTTTTGTGTGTGGCCTTTTTAGCCATGGGCTTGTAACTCCCACCCAGGTGATTGCGTGATAGGGTGGTTATGGCCTATTGAGGGGATTGGTCAGTGTTGCCCTAAAAGAGAGCCAATTCCAAAGCAGAGGGAGGAGCTCACCACCACTAAGGAAGGAGAGACCAGCAGCAGAGACCCAACAGCAGAAGGTGAGGTGGGTTTCCACACCCACAGAGAGAGAAAGCTGAGTGCTTTGGGCAGAGACTGAGGGCCAGGGAGAGAAGTGTCTGTGAACACAGTGGGGAGACACTATCCTGATGGAAGAATGGTATCCTGAGTGTTCTTGAGTCTGAATTGTAACTGTTGCTTCCCTAATAAACCCCATAATCGTGAGTGTGGTCTGTGAATTCTGTGTGGCCATTGCAGTGAATTATCAAACAGAGTAGAGTGCTGTAGGAGGGACGACTGGTATCAGAATTGGTAGAGATGGCTGAGAGAGCAGGCTTGTCTGGCCTCCACCTCATGGGAGTCAGCCTTATGCTGTTGATCTTGGTTCTCCATCCCCCTTGTGGGGTTGGAAGAGGTTAGACACCGCCTCCATGCTGTTTCTACAACTTCCAATTCTGGAATATGACCATACATATATTCCTATTTATTTTAGGATTAGTACACAAATATAGCTTATTTAACTCATATTTTAGTAAAACTCAATTATATTTCTTTAGAAATCTGCTTTTCTCAGCACATTCACTTAAGAAAAATAATTATACAAAGTGAGAATTAAGTGTAATTGCTGAAGAATAAAAATATGCCTATTAATCTAGCATTTTAAAAACACACTAGCTTTTGCCATGTCAATAGCTCCAACAAACAAACTAAAATTATTTGTCTAAAGAGTTACGCATATGAAAAATACCTTTTATCATTTAAATTTTTTTATCATATGATTATAGAAACAAGTCAATTTGTATGGGTCTCAAGATTTATTCCAATAGTCTTTGTTAACAAAATTTCTTTAAAAAGTCTCACATGATTATGTTTATTTTCTTACAATTTTCAATAATTTCATAGACTTTGTGACTAATTTTACAAACACTATGAATTTTTTTAACATTTTATTTTCTTTCTGAGTAGCATTCTTCACTTATAATCTACTAACAGTATTTAAAAAATAATCCCTTATATAGTTATTATTTTTACAAGTGTAAATAAATTTATTCCTTCATGTACATAACACATGTTTTATTTGGAGTACCTGTGAAACAACCATGTGTTAGTATTTTTACATTTTTTATTATCTTTATAATTGCACAAGTAATACATGATTTTAATGGGCTTATTTTAAATAAAAGATTTTGTATTATATTACCTCAGAAAAAAAGTTAACAGTTAAACTATAGTCTTTTCCTCCAGTTTAAGAAATTCCTGAGGAATTGACACCTAGAAAATCTTGTGATGCCAACTCAAGAAGTGCATCAATTCATGATAAATTAAATTCTTGCCGAGGTTCATGTGGAATGATTGCAGATTCGAAATGTCCCTAAGTATGTTGTACCAGTTGTCAAGACTGTTTATTGTACAGCCAGTATTTCATGGAATGCAGCTGCACTAAGAAATGGAAGTGAGGTAAACCCCCCTCCAGGTGCTAGATGACAACAAGGTACTTAATCTGAGAGACATAGACCAGGCTGCTTTCCTGTGCTGATGTGATCGGCACTTATATTGCTTTGTATTTCATGATTGGGACTTTGGAAGCTGTATCTGGGTGTTCAAGACCTCAATAATGCCTTGGTATTCTTTCTTAAAGCTAAATGAATCTGGGTCTGGGTAAATCTATTGTGTCATGTGAGTTTGATTGACATTCTACGCTTGAAACCTATCACTGTTGTCTGATGATTAAGTGACCCACATTTGATTGCCTTTCGGACCCTTGGCACAATATGCAAAGATACTTTATGGTACAAAGAAGGGTAGGGAGGGAGAATCTTTTGACACATTGGTGCTGGGATGGCTACTAACTCATTCTTGGTTTGAAGTAGTAGAAGTTTTTTGAGGCAAATTACTGAGGACAATTTAGATGGTATATCTTCAAAACTCTGGGATTTTGCAAGATGGATTAATAAAGGCAAATGGCAAAAATGGCTAGAAATATTTCTTGATTGTTATTAATAACATTAGCAAAACTGAAACCCTATGAGAAGAACATAGCAAAAAAAAAAAAAGAAAGAAAGGAAAAACCATGTTGCCTTCAAGTTGATTCCAACTCATAGCGACCATATAGTACAGAGTAGAACTGCCTCATAGGGTTACCAAGGCTGTAATTTTTATAGAAGCAAACTGCCACATCTTTCTCCCACAGAGTGGCTGATGGGTTCAAAGTGCCAACCTTTTGGGTAGCAGCTGAGTGTTTATCCACTGTGCCACCAGGGCATAGAAGTATTAAATAGGCCGATTCAGGAGAGATGAGATAAATAAGTAAAAGAGAAGATGAGTCAAGAGAACTTGCTGGGAACCTAGGCAGATATTATGTTTACCTGATCAGCCAGAAGACAACATACTCACTGTCCAAGAGGTGGGAAGATAAAACTAGGTGTCCATAGAAATGACTGGGTACCATTTAATAATTTGGGCACCTTGCCAACAAATAATAGCAGAAAACTGATCAGTTTTTGTTAGCCTGGATACTGACTGCATGACCAAAGGAGTAATATTTTAATGATAGACACATCTCAATGGAGGGACAACCATGAACATTGATATACATTTCTAATTCCAGATAATGATCCACCTCTTTTACAGTAGTTAAGGCAGAAATCTGACAAGCTTACCCTGAAAAAGTTACCTGCCCAATTCTTTCATCTAATGGTATATGAAAGAAAGATCCCTGCAGAGATAGTTGAAATGTACATGCAGGTACCTTACATTGAATATGTGGTTGTTGTTGTGTGCTAACAAGTCAATTCTGACTCATAGCAACCCTATAGCACAGAGTAGAACTGTCCCATAGGGTTTCCAAGGAGACGCTGGTGAATTTGAACTGCTGACCTTTTGATTAGCAGCTGAGTTCTTAACCACTATGCCACCAGCACTCCTACATTGGATTTAGAGATACTATAAAGTCACTCCTAATAAAATGCCTCTAACACAAACTATGGAGTCCCTGGGAGGTGCAAAGTTTAACATG